ATGGGGGTGGAAGGGGGGGGAATGCTTTCCAGGATTCTAGGACTAACACACAATGCTTTTAACATGGTTGTACCTTTTTCTTTTCTTTTCTTTTTTTCTTTTTTTACAAGAGGTCCTCATATATTTATGTTTTGTTCTCTACTAGTTCATGTTCTTTAGTTACTGGGTGGGTTTATTAGTGCTATACCCTCATACTTACTGCTTCCAAGTGCGCGAATGTTGTTTAAAATCAAATTACTGCAATTTTCCTTTAGAATTCATTTGCTGAACAGTTATAATCAGCAATGGATAGAAAAGTCCTTACGGATTCAAATAACTCACTTGACTGTATTTAATTTCACATTTTCCTTGTGGATGGTCATGCTGTTTCTGTTAAATGTCTAATTTATGAAGTCACCATCTCTTGGGCTGAAATTAGACACATGTTTTTCTACTCATTGTGTCCTATTTCATACTAGATAATCTAGTAAAATTCTTTAAGCCTTTCTATGATGGATTGACAGCTTGTACAATTCCTATTAAAGCAAGCTGGGGTTGATAAGCGAACTGGGGACCTTTATGGAAACCGTGATTTCCTGAACATTGCTCGTAATATGGCTCGTGGCCTCAAGGTTTGGTGGTAAATCTTTTCATGTTTTTACTCAGAAGCACATGTTCTGGTTGCTCAAGTATTTTCGTGCCTATCATAGGGCGTTGAAAATGTGTACACCCAGCATCAGCCTCTTGTATTCCAAACTATGGAGAGCATTGTCAAGGGGCGTCTGAGAGATGTGGATTATCCTTATGTTGGAAATCATTTTCAGCAAGCCAGGTCAGTCATTTCTCCATCCTTCTTCGAACCTGTGTACTTGTTATTAGGTATTTCCAGATTTACCTGGGGATATGTTTAGCTCTATTACAATCATCTGTTGACCTTAGATATTTGCCCTTTTACTTTGTTTTGCGTGTACTACAGAAATTGGGGATGCAAAATGCAATTTATCTGGAGTCTTGACCTTGCTAAAAAATTAGATCGAGTGACCTTATACAAGAAACATTTTAAACCATCTTCCTCACTATATTAGCAGGCTGTCCAAAATTTTTATTCTCAAATCAGTTGAATGATCTGCGATTTTGGTGCCGTATGTAAGCTTTTGAATGGTTTTTGAATAGAGCCAAGGGTGATGATACATGTTTGTTGTGCATGCTATCAGTGAAATTTAGGACAAAGAGTAAATATTGTCAGTGCTGGATCTTCATCTAGAAAAGGAATAGAAGTGTAATGGGATTGTTAAGTATCTGCACGAAACTTGTAGACACAAGGCCCTTTCCCACCTCTTTTTCTATCCTTTGGACAGGGCATACTTTTTTCTTCTATGTACTTGCTTCCCGATTTCTAACTCTCATTTGGTGACCAACTTTTTAAGGAGAGATGAATTTGATTGCCCTCCATGTTATACAATGTAGATTCATATGCATGCATTTTAAGACAAAAATTTCGTCCATTTCATTTCAGAATGGACAATTAGGAAGCGTGAAACCTTTTTATGACCACATGAACCTTTTTTTGGGGACATTTAAGAAATAAATGTAGGGCACAGGGGATGTGAAAGAAAGAACATGAAGCTAAATGGAGTAGGATGCGTCTATGATATATAGTGGTGGCAGTTTCTGACAGTTCCTTCCAAACTCTTGCAAGCAATGCTTGGATTTATTGCTCTAGGCCAGTTAAATATATTTTCATGTTAGTCATATTCACTCGAGGATTGCCATGTTATGAGTCTCCCTTGCTTAGCTTGATTCTGATCAATTCTGTCATTGTGGTCAAACTTTGTTATGAATTTCCTCCATACGACCTCCTTTGTTTCTCCCCACATTTTTCAGTCATGTCATGATAAAAGTTTCTTTAGCAACTATTTCATGTTGAATAAGACTTAAATCTGCTTCCCTTGTCTTCTCTTCGACAGGCCTCAGGAGGTGGTGATTTTCATTGTTGGTGGGACAACTTATGAAGAGGCACGTTCTGTTGCTCTGCAAAATTCTACAAATTCTGGAATTCGTTTCATACTTGGTGGTTCTGCAGTTCTCAATTCCAAAAGGTCTGTGATTCTCCATTATACTCGATAGTTTTTGGATTTCTGCCCTTTGCTTTTCAAAAGTATATGATGAAGATCGTATGAGAAATTGAAGATTTGCCAAGATTGGAAACTTATTTTAGGAGGAGAGCTTATAACTTGTGAGATTTTCTTGTATTTGAATTGTATTCCCTTATGATAAACCCAACACCCACCCACGCACCCACCCCTGGTCCCCGTACAATTCTTCTACAAATATAGTGTTATGTTCCAAGCATACTACGTCATTATATTTAGCGCTTTTGTGAAAAGTGACTTTTTTTTTGTTTCTTAAAAATATGGGGTTAAAAGGTAAATAAAATTTAATGGGTCCTCTTGCAAAAATAATTTATTGGATAATGTGTGGTTGAAAATGAATTTGAGGAAAGGTGGCTTTGAAAAATAAAAATCAAACAAGGGCTTTGTAAATTTTAATTATCTCAGTCATTTTAGATCATATTGGCCCTCGTGAACTTTTGGCTTCTGTTTGCCCAGAGGCATATCACATTAATTGTTTGCACCGCGCGACTCTTTCATTTCTTGTGCAAGAGTTTGTTTTCAGTTTTACATGTCCCCCTCAATGGATCTGTGTCTAATTCTCTCTGGCGGGCAAACATGTAGGTTTTTGAAGGACCTTGAAGAAGCTCAGCGAATTGCTCGAACAAGTTCCAGCGTTGTTTGAACTTCAATTACGAGCGGTTCACCTCTCGTAAGATGTATAGATAAATATACACTGCAGTATTCTCCTAACAGAACTGTATAGAGGGCTGAAATTTGAGGGTGACACTGACTAATTCATTTTGCTTATGTGAGAAATACATATCTTGGCAACGTGTGCAGTTTAATCCGACTTTATTGGATTAAAACCCGACTCGTGACTTGCCGTATTGCAGCAAAGCCTGATTTTGTTTCACTCCCATGGTATGTTTTTCCACTGTAATTGTGCCTGATTGTTATAGCTTGAATTTTTTGATACCTGCCTTGGTACTTCCAGTAATTTTACAAATTACAAGTATTTCTTCAAAGCGATATGGTTACAATTATTATGTGCGTACAGAATAATCTTTGATAGAAAAGATACAGAATACTCACATGGACTCCATGTGAGCAAAATATTACCAAAAAAATATTCACCCACCCTCCATTGTGTGTGACCTATAAATGCCTTGTGAGGGGACTCCTGTACGCCAAGTGCTCTCCATAAGGTTATATCGCGGCCACATCACAGGACGAGGATAAATTTTAAGTCATTTTTTAAATATTTGTTAGAATTGTCTGTTTTGTATAACTCACGATGTTGCTAAATTAGGTAGAGGGCTAGTTATTTTCCCTCTTTCTTTCACTGACTTGGAGTTGTAGAAATTAGGTTGATTGGCCATTTGGTCAATTTTGGGAATACGTGCAGAAAGTGAGCAAAATGCCCTTGACATGCTTGGACGACGTTGGGAAAGAGACTTCTCTATAAAACATTCTTAGGTAAATCACCATTGTTCGTGTTTACGCTATAATTTATGATTTTCTGAAGTAATTAATAAGTTGCACCAACTTAAAATCAGAGTTTTTCTCGTAGCCCGCCGAAAACCTAGACCTTCAAATTAGGACTTAATATCAAGATCCAGACCTCAAACTGAGGATTGAATAGCCGTGAAGCCTTCAGAAGCACAAGGAAGTATCGAAGTGTTTCATAAAATTTCGACAAACGATGGAAAAAGAGATATAAGTACTAATTATTTTATTTGTCAAGTGATGATTAAAAAAGGAGTAACATTATTTAGCACTGCTGATAGTCAGTTTAGGTGGTAATCAAATGATATTAATTGATAGATCATTTGACAATTACTATACAAACATTTCGTGAAATTTATTACTCTCTGTAATCCTATTATAATTTCTCCAATAAATGCACTTTAGTTTTTAGTTCTTGATTTTTAACTTGAAGTTCGATGTAATTATAATTAATCAGATTATTAAGATTTTTCTTAAAAATCAAGTATTAATTATATATAAAATAAATAAGTAATTTAATATTTAAAAGATTTAGTAAGTAATTTCAAATTCGAACTTTAATTATCATTAATGGGATTTCAAAATTACAAAATGGGATTTCAAAATTACAAAATCTAGAGAAAGAAATTCCAATTATTAACAATTGGATTTGACGCATTCTTTCTCATATTTTACATGAAATCTTCAACCTTAAAATCGGGTCACAATTCTTGCATGAAATTATGATTTTAAAAAGTACACATTTTAGGTTATATTCAAGAGACGTTTTAGGTTATATTTAAGAGACATGAAGTCACAAAACAGTGTCAAATTTTTTAATATTTGTCACATAGACAAAAGTACACAACCTTATAAGTCACAATCACACACAGTCTGTCACGATCATAACGTATTACAAAACGTCTTATATCACAACCAAATGTCATAGTTACACAATCATAATTATCTTTTATTAATACTCAACTCACATTATTTTCTTATTAAATCAATATATTTATAATCTTAGAAAAGATGATATTAGTGTTGATTTTTGAAAGAATTCTTAGAAGTTCGATATTTTTTAAATTGTATTCTTAATGTATTATAGTTAAGAATTTTTATCCCTTGTACCTTTTTATTGAAAACTTTAAAAATATTAAAATTTCCTATAAGTTTCCAAAGATCATGTTACATGTACAAACTTTTTTTACACACTCCCTTACTCACTACTGACAACGAGAGTAGGGACCACAAGCCGACATTTTTTAAGTTCACATGGGGTCCACTAATTTTGTGAGAATGAATACACCATTTTGTTAACAAAATTTTGTACAAATATTTTTATCCAATTTTCAAAGCATGCATTATTTATTTATGGTCTATAGTAATTAAAATAATATTAAAAATAAGAAAATGCCTTGCTATGCCAAACCTTGTGAGCGTTGCTCTGCATTGAAGATATCTCTATACTAGCGAACTTGGTATTCCATTTAATTCTTTTCTACAAAAAATACAGGAAGCGGTGCATCTCCGGTAAGCCTATCACATGGACAAAACTGAAAAGTGCAACTGATAAGATTTAAATTTACGCAGGGTGCTATCCAATCTACCTTCTCAACATGCTAACAATGTATCCTTTTCAACTTTAATCCTAGTTTTTGTTTCTGAAGAAGACAATTTTTCTAAGCCCATGGAAGGTAGCCTGGATATGGAGCATTCCCACAATATCTGAACAAACCTTCGATTTCAGGACATCCATTAGGATAAGGAATTGACCGGTGAAAAGGATTGCGTCCAAGCTTTTTGCGACGTAGTGAACCTAAGCAACCATAAGGATCGTCTTGAAATTGAGCCCTCACCAATGCTTCCCCTTTTAAAGCTGCCTCCCTTGAATTTTGGGAAGAAGGCGTGCCTGCATATGAGAACCTTGCCTCGGGAAATCCAATTGCCGATCGATGAAGACGAACAAATCTCTCTTCCTTAAAATCGTAACCTACAACCTGAATTTCAATACAAAAAAGAAACAGGTAAAAAAGGACAGTCCTTGTCTGACTTGACTTCAGCACAAGTTGGAAAAACCTGTTACCAATCAATTTTTGTTCATATATTTAACTAAAAAAGAATTAACAAAAATTCCCATAAGTTGCATGTGTATAAACACAGCCACAAGCATACGCACGCACCCTCATGCTTAATGGGAATTGGATGACGGCTGTCAACTGTATATGTTTTAGTTATACACGAGAAAATACGAGTAGAGACATCTAAGAACCAGTGTAAATTGACAAAATAACGATGAAGAAATATTGATGATGCAGTAACTAGCAAGTACTGTTATCTGTGGACAGGTGCTTAAAGGGCTCATGGGAAGACTTGAAAGGCACAGACACAGAATTAGCCTTCCTAATACTTGGTCACAAACAATCAGAATCAAAGATGTTATAATAACCGAGGTCTTGACATTGATAATTTCACTTAAAAGTCAAAAAGCTGCTAAGAAGTCTTCAACTCGTGCACTCATATCTTATATTTGTTATGCAGTACCAAATAAGATTAGAGGAGAAAATAGACAATATTTAGCTTAATTTACTCCTTTAATACTATCTAGTACAGGCAAGTCGACCTCACCAGACAGGTGCTTAAAGGGCTCATGGGAAGACTTAAAGGCATAGACACAGAATTAGCCTTCCTAATACTTAGGCACAAACAATCAGAGAATCAAAAATGTTATAATAACCGTGGCCTTGACATTGATAATTTCACTTAAAAGTCAAAAAGCTCCTAAGAAGTCTTCAATTCGTGCACTCATATCTTATATTTGTTATGCAGTACCAAATAAGATTAGAGGAGAAAATAGACAATATTTAGCTTAATTTACTTCTTTAATACTATCTAGTACAGGCAAGTCGAACTCACCAGACATGCAGGTTAAGTATTAGTCATAAACCAACTCCAGAATTCAACCGGAGTTAGAGCAGTGAATGTATATAACAATTAGACTTACAGTTATATTCTGAGGATATGTGCCAGTAAGCTCCCGGAACCGGCACACACTGAAGAGAAGATTCTCAAAGCTGTCTCTTGCATGTTCTTCGGTTAGTGCTCTAGATCGCACATTGTCTTGCTTGCCTGTATAGAGTTCACAGCATACTAAAAGAACAATCCAAATGTGATCATGATAAGGAAAATTTAATTTCAATACCAACTCTAAGTTTTTCTGGAAGTAATCAAGTAAATTATTAAGCTTCCAATATGATGCAACACAAACGGCAAATCATCCCAAATGATGCAATAAACAAAAAAAATTGTAAGGAAGAATTGAAACTAAACAAGTAACAAAAGAAATTGACACAATCTAAGTCCCAATGGTCATTTTCCTTTGGGTAGAAAATTATTATCATGCACTTGTTTTCACTTGATCAGAGGTTTCCTTATCAATCTTTTTCTGTTTTTCCATTACTCTCTTTCAAAGAACCACCAGTAATAACCCACGACTTACGGATAAAGCATATCAAGCATTATAAAATCATTGCCACAAGAAACTCATATTGCAGAAAAGTTACTAATTTTATTGCATAACCACGTAAAATACTGTGAGATTCATCGTCAAGGTTAGGGTAAGTCGCTTACAAGACATCATATTTGAAGTCATCTAACTATTTTGAGTGGACGAATGAGAAAAAAGAGAGAAAAAAAATACATCTATAAGGCAGTCGGCAAGCAGTTATATCATAAAATGGAAATTGTGCAAGAGCTAGAAATATAATGAAAAAGAATAATATGCAGTCACCCTCGTAAAAAGACAATATTAAGCCCACGTTTGGCCCCCATTTTTTCAAATTAAAATGGGTGTAACACTATTTTTTTGAAAAATAAGTGGTTAAAAAAGAATGAAAAGTTTTCGGTTTATATATAATATTATTTTAAGGAAGATTGTGTGATTGAAAATAGGAGACAAAGAAATGAAATTTAATTTAATGGGGGCCAAACGAAGGCTAAGAAGAGGTCTTCCATTTATTTATTTATTTTGGGTAGGCGAGGTGGGGCGGCACGGCCAAGCACTTCAAAGCTAGAAATCCTAATGTCGATGTATTCGAGAATAATGTTATAGGTTGGCCCCCAATGTTAAAAGATAATTTTTTCCCCTATATGAAAATACATTTCTCTTGCAGTTGGTTTGCCAGCCAAGTTTCCAACCTCATCACTCTCCAAAAGGAAATTTATTATTTCAATCATGTCTCCGTAGTTACTTATACCCACATAATTTGGATGGTATGCTAAAAGATATAATTGGGTACTGTTTTGCATGAAACTATAACAATATAACCATCAAGATAGAAAAACCTCAATATAACAACCATCTCTATAGCATGGATGCTTCAACTAGGGTAACGTGTCTGTGTCGCACACATGTCGATACCGACACTTCTCGAACATTCTACTATAAATATTTTTCTTTTTTATTAAAAATTATATATTTTTAACACAAAATTATTAGTAAATAACAAATAAGTACTCATATTTAAAAGATTTCAAAAAATAAAAATAAAAATTTAATAACAAGTATAAAACTAAATTTATACTATATAAATGAAGAATTCTAAAAAATTTAATCAATGTATCAACGACTCGTCGTTTTAGTACTTTTTTAAAAATCGTGCGTCGACATATGTGTCTTTGTCGGTGCAACATAGAAAACCACAAAAGCCAGATTACTCAGGTTCTTTCAGTTCCCATGATGTGTCCATATGACACACTTGGTCTAATCCCTTAAGTAGATATGATCTTTACGAAGAACTTATGATTAATAGAATTTACGTGCATCGAACATACATGTAAAGGACGCTGATTTTCCTAGGCTCCTAGCTAACTTCAAGCAATGCAGGTACAAAACATTAGCAATGAAGTCACTAGAAACCGAATGTATCATTATAATCTATGTTCATCTCCATTGCAAAAAATAAAAAATGAAAATTTGCAGGTCGACATACAACAATGCAAACTGCATAAGCTTCAACAGTAGCCTCCAGATCTCAGCCAACTTAAGAAAGGTACAACACAAGGACACACCCTTTTAAAAGTTTACATTCATTTTGGTTAGGGTATGATCTAACGTGGAATTTCTAACACAGAAAAGAAAACATTTTTCTAGAGTTTACAATGGAGAATAAGCATAGGAATTGCAGATATCTATGAAGATTAGGACTGAAGATAAAGTTTGATTTAAATATATCAGCAATTTTATTAGATAGGATTTTATCATTTTTTACCGTTGTGATTTACTGGAAGATGTTTTAGATTAAGTTCTTTACTCCATAAATATAAAGTAGGATTTCATTGTTTGGAAACTATTATAAATTATAGATATTGAAATACATATTTCTTCCTCTCCTCTATATTTCTCTCTCTGTGTCACTTCTGTAACAGTTTAACTCACTATATCATGCTCAGCCAGCATATAGCTTTGGACTAAAGCTGTTTCATGCCAAACAATCAAAGAAACACTTATTTACATATTTGAGCAATTCCACCAAGATCAGGGAGCCAAATTATTTAAATTTACATTATGAATTTTGAGAACGTTAAAATTCAGAGAACTGAGCAAAAATAAGAAGCGTAAAGATCCAAAAAAATCCTAAATTGCAAGGACCTTGAGAAGTAAAGAAATATATGTAAAAATTTGAAAAAAGAAAAAGGGAACAAAAAGTAGCATCAGTGTATCAGTCTAAAACATGTATGAAAGGAAACATAATGCAGCAAAATCGTTTTTATATTTGGCCCCCGTTTGACTCAGATTTTAGTCTGAATTAAAGTCAAACAATCAATGTTAACAGCATCTTTTTTGGATCCCACAACTTTTCAACCACGGATTTCAAAAACTTCTATCAAAATCTATCAAAAATCTAATTTTGTGTGTTTGAGCCCCATTATTTGACATTATAATGAGATGAATAGTTTTTTTTTGAAAAATAAATAGTTGAAATTTTTTTGATTTACGTGTAATATTATTTTATTGAAGATTATGTGGTTAAAAATAAGAGAGAGAAAATTTTAATTTAATGTAATGAGAAATAATGGGGCTCAAACGGAGGCTAATCCCAACAAACACCCTCTTGATTTGATTTTTATTATTTCGCCTAAATTAAAAATATAAAAAGGGAGCTAAAAGAAGCTTCCTTACTAGCTAATATATCAGTCAGAATTCACAAGACTCAAATCTAAAATCAAACTCATCACTCAAAACTCCAAAAGGATCAGATCTTTATAAAAATAATAATAATACCAGTAAATAAAATGTCACGAGTGAGCATATCGTCTCGAATGAATGCCAAGACTAGTCCTAAAACATCACAGTCAGGCAAAATATTCCTGCTTCACTATTTTCAAACATCAGAATACTTATTTCCAGTCATTTCGATAGTAATAAATCATTCCTACATAATCGTCCCAGCAAGAAAATAAACACAGGAATGCACTCACCAAACCATCCTTTTGACTCGGCAACAACCCAATAACTCTGTGCTTCGCTTCGTGGACCTGCATCCTTCCGCGTCTCACCCCCACTAAACAAGAGCAATGCCTCATCATCATCGGCTGCAATATCCACCCCCTTCTGTATATGCGTAACAAAAGTAGCAGCTTGGCCTGGATGCCTCTGATTGGACTCCAAAAACCAAGAATCCTCATTATCAACCTTCTCACAACTACTACTAGTATAAATCGAATGGCCCGCCACCATTACAAGATTCTTAAACTTCGAAAACGGATAATTATCCACATTAGCATCTAGTTTCCTATAAGAGGGCATTATTCTAATGGGGTTCCCATATATGGATATCATTATGATGATTGTAATCATAACTGAAAAGCAAATCAAGAAGAGCATAAGAGGATGAAGCTTGTAATAGTATTGGATTCTATTTCCTAATGAATTTAGCATTTTAATGAGAGATTTTTTGGGCTTTCGAGATTTTTTTACAATTCCAGATTCCAAGTCAAAATCACCCCTTGGATAGGCCTGGAAGGATTTGGGACTACTACTAGACCCGAATGAATAATTTGTCTTCATAGATCAGATCCACCTTATGGAGTGAAAATGGTGAAAGAATTCGAAAACAAAATAAAAGATTTGAACCATACAAGTAAGTAAAATCAAAAGACAAAGAAATTCAAGAAAAATAAAGAACTGGTAGAAAGGAATTAAATTTCAACTTCATATAGGGATTCGAAGCAAGCCCAGATAGAAATTCAAGGAAAAAAAAAATTCTAAAAATACGGAAATGGGATGAAGCACTACAAGATGGAAATGTAAGAAACAGAAATTAATTAATTAACCACGAAATTCAATTTTACCGGGATTTGAGGAAATACCAGCTCGAAATTGTTCATTTGTAAACTAGGAGGTAGGATTAAAAATTATCGATTTGATTTGACGATGATGCAAGATAATTAGAAAAGCGTTTTCACAGCATCATAAGTACTATTTGAGCCACATTAATTTTCAAAATAAAAAATATAGTCGTTATAACTCCACACACAAGAAATAAATTTTTAAATATGATAATTTATGTAATGAATAATAATCATATTTTTCATTTTAATAAGTAAATAATGAGAAATAAACGGGACATAGTTTTATCATTTTATGTTTATCTAGTGAAAATATTGTGTATGTTATGTTATTAATAGCCTGTTTTAGCTGATCTAAAAAGTAATCGAAAGCTAACTTTTAAAAAAAAAAATAAAAAATTAATGGGTTAATTTCACGAATGGTCACTAAACTTAAGTAAAAATTACAAAACGGTCACTGAAATTTAAAACTTTCATTAACAGTCACTTAAGTTTTCAGGCGCTTTCAAAAATGGTCACTGAAATTTAAAAATTTTCAGAAATGGTCAATGAAATTTCAGTTTTTTGGGCTACTTTTGTGGCAATTTTTCGACTACTTCCGATCACCGATACCGTCAAATTTTGATACCGTTGAAAAGACCAAAATGTCCTCTTCAATTACCACCCAAAATCTCTCCATAATTCCAAAGGATTTGACTAGAAAATCGTTGCAAAATTAGCCCAAAAAATTGGAAAATTTGTCCAGATTTTCAGATTTTTTGGGCCAAAATTGCCAAATTTTGATACCGTTGGAAAGTCCACAATGTCCTCCTAAATTAACGTCCAAAATATCCCCCAAACTCCAAAGGATTTGGTTGGAATAAACTCACAAAGTTGGCTACCCAAAAAGGTGAAAACGTGGGCTGATTTTTTAGGCTACTTTTAAGGCAATGTTCTGACAACTTCCGACCACCAATGCCACTGGATTTTGATACCGTTGGAAAGCTTACAATGTCCTCTTCAATTATCATAAAAATATCCCCCAAACTCCAAAGGATTTGGTCGGAATAAACCCACAAAGTTGGCTACCCGAAAAGGCGAAAATTTAGGCAGATTTTTTAGATTTTATGGGCTACTTTGACGCAACTTTTCGGAAACTTACGGCCACCAATACCATCGAATTTTGATACCGTTGAAAAGCCTACAATGTCCTCTTCAATTACCATGAAAAATATCCCCCAAACTCCAAAAGATTCGGCCGGAATAAACCCACAAAGTTGGCCACCTGGAAAGGCGAAAATCTAGGCAAATTTTTCAGTTTTTTTGTCTATTTTTGCGGTAACTTTCCGGCAACATCCGACCATCAATTTTGCTGAATTTTGATACTGTTGGAAAGCCTACAATCTTCTCTTCAATTATCACCCAAAATCAGCCGATTTGGTGGTCGGAATTCACAGGAAAATCACTGCAAAAATCGCCCAAAAATCTGAAGATTTTGGCAGAATTTCAGATTTTTTTGGCGATTTTTCGGTCAAATTCCTTGGAGTTATGGGGAGATTTTGGGTAATAATGGAAGAGGACATTGTAAGCTTTTCAATGGTATCAAAATTTGGTGGTATTGATGGTCGAAAATGATAGAAAGTTGTCGCAAAAGTAGCCCAAAAAATAAAAAAAAAAACTTCAATAAGCGTTTCTGAAAGTTTTTAAATTTCAGTGATCATTTCTGAAAGTTTTTAAACTTCAGTGACCTTTTTGTAAGATTTTAAATTTCAGTGACGATTTTTGAAAGCGTACCAAAACTTAAGTGACGGTTACTAAAAGTTTTAAACTTCAGTGACCGTTTTGTAATTTTCTCTATAGTTCAGTGACCGTTTGTGAAATTAACTCAAAAATTAATTTGAAATATAGTAACATAAATCAGTTTTTTCTTTCTTTATTTTGAAATGTGTTTAAATAAAAATTTATTTTTCCTACTTTCAAATTAAAAAAGGGAAAATTACAACAACGGTCCCAAACCTTTGCATTTTTTTGTAAACTTTACTTCAACCTTCAATTTTTGCCACCACGGGTCCCAAACCTTTCAAAAATTAGCACTTGGAGTCCAAAATGATGGAAACTATGAGTTCCACCATTAGTTGACTTGAAAAATAAAACAATTGGATACTTTGATTAATTTAAATAAGGGCAATTTTATCAGTCACATATTAATATTTAAAATAATTAAATTAAAATTCAAAAAACCATCCCACCCCACTCTACCCTACCCCTTTATCCCCAAATCCTTCATCTTTTTCGAGAAATTGAGGCATGCATTGACTGAAAAAACCCAGACACACAATCGATCACCACCCACGATCGACAATCACCACCTGCCAAAGGAAGGCTTAAACCAAACTGAAAGTACCCATGAAATATTGGGAACCAGAAGTGGCGAAATCAAATCCACCGGAGAATGACCAATTGAGGCAAAAAAATAAAAAAAATAAATAAATAATGGAGCAAAAGCCTTACGACACAAGTGGAGCTAATCAATTGGCACGGGTGACTGCAATTAAGGACCGGCGGTGGTTCATGGCAAGAGATGGTGGGAGCCAATCATAGCATTGTACAACAATGTTGGTGGTAGCGGCTGCTGAGAATAGTGGTTGTAGGGAACTTTATGTGTGGTGGGGTGATTTCTGTTGTGGTTGAATTATCAAAGGAGGGGACTGGTGATTTTAACTATTTGTTACAATAGGGTTGTGGCATGGGATGAAGAAGACGATAATGTGGTTCGAAAGGGGTGGTGGTACCAGCTATAAAATACTGTCGGTGGGAGGTGTTGGGAATCTACTTAACATGCACAGCGAAAAATTAAAACATATTTCGATTCCCACCAAAAATCGTCTTTGTGTTTAGATAGAAATTGTGATAAGATTGTACCTTTTTCAAATCTGCAAACTTCTTTGCTATTCTTTTCGTTCCAGCAATCTTGATTCGCAACTCACAGCTGTCCTATTGTTCAGCCTCCAACGATGATCCACACAGATAATAAGATTGCAACTATCAGGGTTTTCTCTTCTTATGCTAGCAAGAATAATTATGAGAAAACTGTATGGATTGAAAACCCTAGCCATGTATTTATATAAACCCAAACGGGCCTGACTCGGTCCGATCCAATATTTAATTGATCCATTTAATTAAATTCGGTCCGTGAATTAATTAATCCAATTAATTAATTCGGGCCTATAAATGACCAACCCAATTAATTAATTTATGCAACGATTGTTAAATTAATTAATTGACAAATTACAACCTTCCCATTCTCTTTTGTGTGCGACCCATCAGGCTCCCGATCACGATGTGCCTAACGACATGAAATATTATTTTGATCTGATCAAAATTGATAAATTAAAACACAATTTTAATTTATCATCAATTCACACTCGCCGTCCCAAATTGACATCTAGCAATGTGTCAGGGCAATACATGTGACGGGAAATGTCACGTGGTATGACAAAATCAAACTCGTTCGTTTACCGTGAAACTATAATCCCTTCGTCAATGTGACTCGATCAATTACGAGATATGAAAGTGTATCAATCTCGATTATCGATCATATCTTTCACTCCACTATTAAGTCAATATAAGTCGAAAACTTCTTTTCGACTTATGAATACACCTTGGCCAATAATTTCATCATTGACTTAATTGAATGAAACGCAGATTATAATCTCCTACTATCTAAGAGTGACGAATCCTTTATTGATCAATCACAACCTTCATATGATTCTTGACGTACCCGAACGATGTCGTATTAGCGGCCCTTTGCAGAGCAACATCCAACACCGTCAAAGTATGACTGTCCTCATATAAGGTATCATGACGACCTCAAATCAAATGACCAATTCCACTATCGAACGTTAGAGATTAACCACTGACATTCGGATAGTTATCCATGTGGAATCTCTCGGCGGGTCTCCAATATTTTGTTCTATAACAAAATATCCATATGTTCATTTAAGTGTCACCACACTTTAGCTTGTGAGATCAGCTACTTACTTCATAAGTAAGAAATGCCACACGTGATGGTTTATCCGTAATAACGATATCTGTATCTCGTTATTACTTATGACCACTGACAATTTAATATTCAATCAGCTGTAATTTGTATCTCATAATCACAACTCCTTGTGATTAACAAATTACGATGATTTGAATCTGCGGACTCTATTATTTATTTAATTGTCTATTAATTAAATAATAGATCTGTTATTAAATTGCATTAATTATATATCAAAAGCATTTATGTCCAAAACTGATTGGACATAGGGCATAATACTTATAGGAGGCAGTGCTAGTTCACCAATCGCCACCCATCGCTACTAGTGGGTGGGGAAGATAATATTTTCTATGGATGGCGACGGTGTTGGTTGCCGACGATTGGTGGTGACTGTTAGTGGTGGGTGGGTTTTGTTTTGGGGTGGGGTGGAAAAGATAATATTTGATAGAGTTTTGGTGGACGTTGGCGACAGACGATGATGAGGTTGTGGAGGTGGGTTTTTTGGTTGGGTTCAGAAGGAGGTGGGGTGTGGGAAGAAGAAAATTAATGAACAGTGATTTTTTATTTTTATTTTTTTTGTTTTTTAATGTTAAGTTGAAGTTACAATTTTACTCCTTTTAAAATTGGTTAAAGTCAATTTATTGGGTCAACTAATGGTTAAATTAATAGAAACCATCCATTTGGACTTCAAGTACTAATTTTTGAAAGGTTTGGGACCTGTAGTGGCACAAATTGAAGGTTGAGGTAAAGTCTGCAAAAAATGTAAAGATTTGGGACCGCTACTGCAATGTTCCCTAAAAAAAAGTTATTTATACTAATTCTTATTTTACAAGAATGGATAGTTCGATGAGTTCTACAATTTTTGATAGAATTAATAATATTAAGGGACATCTTCCAATAAAAAATAGAGGAAATTATCAAAATAGTCAACTTTTGGTGTTGTATTTACAAAAATGTCACTTTTTTTGACATTGCAAGAATGTCAATTTTAGACATATTTACCCTTAAAACTAATTTTAAATATCCTATAGGTCCTAATTAAATGAGATTTGACCAATCAAAGAAATTGTACAAAATTTTGAAAGAGTGTCTGACAAAATTGAATTATTCAA